GGGGAATCCTGCAGCTATCCTGTCAAATCAGTTCTGACAGCTTGTAATGTGGCATTCAATACCTTCTCGCTGACCTCACTACAATGTATGTCCATAAATAGGAGTTGCAGGATTCTCAAGTGCAGTGTCTTGTTTCTATTAGTTAAGGCAGCTTTCTCACCAACAACAGATTAGCTGTTAGGCACAGGAGTGTCTAACAGTAAACCCCCAGTTTCCATGAATTAACTACCATCTGAAGTTGAGCAAACTGCTGCTCACTCAGGCTGCCAAACTCATGAAAAAACTTGTTTTATTGAGTTCAACTTCTCAATGAGGTTAAGTATTAAACTGAAAAGTGAAGCTAGAGAAAACTACACAAGAGTTACTTAATAGAGAGAGAAATAAGGCAGAGGAGACAGTTTAGGACACAAAAAGCCTTTATGTTTGAGAAGTTAACCATTTCGACAGACGACTCTGAAGTATTTTTGCAACTACTGTTACATTGGACAGTCAAGGATACAAAACTGCTGACAGAAGCAACAGTGGAGAGCACCAAATTAAAAAAATGCATGCTTCAGCACAACTGCACAGATCCCTCCTCTCAACGAACACTTGCCTGCTCAGACTATACTTAACTCCTACCCATTTCAACTTTATGCCTCATCCTCCTCTCCTTCCTCTTCAAACTCCCCCTGCTCATCAGCAGTGGCATCCTGGTATTGCTGGTATTCGGAGACCAGGTCATTCATGTTGCTCTCGGCCTCTGTGAACTCCATTTCATCCATGCCCTCCCCGGTGTACCAGTGCAAGAAGGCCTTGCGCCGGAACATGGCCGTGAACTGCTCCGAGATCCTCTTGAAGAGCTCCTGGATGGCCGTGCTGTTGCCAATGAAGGTGGCGGACATCTTGAGGCCACGGGGCGGGATGTCGCAGACGGCCGTCTTCACGTTGTTGGGGATCCACTCCACAAAGTAGCTGCTGTTCTTGTTCTGCACGTTGAGCATCTGCTCGTCCACCTCCTTCATGGACATGCGGCCCCGGAAGATGGCGGCCACCGTCAGGTAGCGGCCGTGGCGCGGGTCGCAGGCGGCCATCATGTTCTTGGAGTCGAACATCTGCTGGGTCAGCTCGGGCACCGTCAGGGCTCGGTACTGCTGGCTGCCACGGCTGGTGAGAGGGGCGAAGCCCGGCATGAAGAAGTGCAGCCGAGGGAAAGGCACCATGTTGACCGCCAGCTTGCGCAGGTCGGCGTTCAGCTGGCCGGGGAAGCGAAGGCAGGTGGTCACCCCGCTCATGGTGGCCGACACCAGGTGGTTCAGGTCCCCGTACGTGGGAGTGGTCAGCTTCAGCGTGCGGAAGCAAATGTCGTACAGGGCCTCGTTGTCGATGCAGTAGGTCTCATCCGTGTTCTCCACCAGCTGGTGCACGGAGAGGGTGGCGTTGTAGGGCTCCACCACCGTGTCCGACACCTTCGGGGAGGGCATCACGCTGAAGGTGTTCATGATGCGGTCGGGGTACTCCTCCCGGATCTTGCTGATGAGGAGGGTGCCCATCCCAGAGCCTGTGCCACCACCCAGCGAGTGGGTCAACTGGAAGCCCTGGAGGCAGTCACAGCTCTCCGACTCCTTCCTCACCACGTCCAGGACAGAGTCCACCAGCTCAGCACCTTCCGTGTAGTGCCCCTTGGCCCAGTTGTTGCCAGCCCCGCTCTGACCTACAGCGTCGGACCAGAAGCAGGGTGCCACGTTAGTGCCCCAGGGAGGAACAGAGAGGAGCACGTGCCCCTCTTCTGCCCCAGGGGGTCCACCCCTCACTTCCACCCCTACTCTGCTGCTGGGATTCGCATCCCCCAGGTCACTCGCACACTCACTCACTTGGAGCCACTTCCATGCACAAAGCTCCCCCCCTGGAGCTCCTCTACCCAACGCTCACTCACCAAAGACAAAGTTGTCGGGCCGGAAGATCTGTCCAAAGGGGCCGGAGCGCACAGAGTCCATCGTGCCGGGCTCCAGGTCCACCAGGATGGCACGGGGGACATACTTGTTACCTGGTGGAGGAAGCAGCACCAGTGTCACAGCCCTGCAGGCAGTGTCACAGGAGCCCTGCCGTGCCCCCCCCCGCCTCCCCGCAATTTGCTGCCTGGGATGCAGAGGGTGAGGGAATTTGGAGGGAGGTAGCTGGGAATAGGAACACAAAGCAGCTGTTATAACCCTGCCGGGCTGTCACCCGCTGCGGGGAGGGCTGGGGCACAGCCCCCACGGCAGGGTGTCTCCCCCCCCCCAGCAGCGCCGGGCTGCCAAGCTCATTACAGAGGGGCGTTACCGGTGGCTTCATTGTAGTAGACGTTGATCCTCTCCAGCTGCAGGTCACTGTCCCCGTGGTAGCTGCCCGTGGGGTCGATGCCGTGCTCATCGCTGATGACCTCCCAGAACTGCCAGGACCGGGGGAAGGACGAGGGGATAATGGAGAGGGGGGGAGGTTTGAGGGGGTCAGCGCCGCCCCGCCCCACCCGCGCCCCCTGGCCAAAGCCCCGCGACGTGGCGAGTGAGGATTCGCCACGCGTGGGGGCGGCTCTCGCCAGACGCCACCGCTCCCGCGCCCCTCACCCCCCGCCGCACCCCCCCACCGCCGGGAGGGGTGTGGCACCGGCTCAGCGCCCCTTCCCTCCGCCCGCCCGGGACCCCCGCAGCCCGCGGGGAGCG